TTCTATAAAAATGGCATATTACTGCTAGAAAATCTGTACCAAAACTCTGACTCTCCTTTTTTATTTTTTTATTGACCTAATACTTTGCTCAGACTCATTCCCTCAGTAACTTCCATTAAATATTTATAGCTTCATCTAAATAAAGACTGTCTCTGCAAAGCTTTACTTCAAATAAGCCTCACACAGACAAGAAGGTTAACTGTCTTCCATGCACCAGAAAGTCTCAAAGACTGAGATATCAATGAGATGGAAATGTAGATTAATTCAGGGAAGACTCATTTAAATTTAGTATCACCGAAGTGCTCAATTCAAATTAAAATATAYTTACAGAATAAGTGGCTATAATAAGAAAAATCCCCAAAATTAATGAAGTGTGAAAGAAATAGCAGAAAGCAATGCTCCTGGATGCTTGCATTATTTTGTAGGAGATAAAACAGCAGTACAGATATAATTATTCACTGAAAGCAGCTACCAGAAGATTAAGAATGCTTCCCATCACCTTAGTCTTCATGGTAGCCCCCAAATAACCAGGTATCTAGACACATGGGCAGCAACAGAGTAAGAGCACAGATGAAGTTGTTGCAGAAAGAAATATAAACCTTTACCTGTCCAAGGCATCTGAGTCTCATGCAGTTAAGGAAAYAGATGGAAGGGGGGATACATACAGCCTAACGTGTTTCTCATGTTCAAGTACAGAAGGTACACAGAGAGTGCTCCTTGCATGGAGCTTAACTGCTCACATGGATGKGCACACACAAAACCCAACAGTTCACCAATAGGTGGGATGAATGAAGCTATCTAGGAACAAACAAGAAGGATAAAGGCAAAAATGGACCATGCAGATTAATCACACCGTGATGCACAAATGGAAGTCCCCTGTGCATGCAATACATAGGGTGAACACACAGCAGATACTACCAGAGTCCATACCAAGGTAGGTTAAAAYCACAGAACCACACAGAATCACAGAATGTTTGAGGTTGGAAGGGACCTCTGGAGATCATCTAGTCCAACCCCCTGCTCCAGCAGGGACACCTAGAGCACATGGAACAGGGTGGCATCCAGGTGGGTTTGGAACATCTCAAGAGAAGGAGACTCAACAATCTGCCCGTGCAGAGTTCTTGCCCAAATTGCAAGAATCTGCTGCTCATGGTGATGAGATGAGATTAATAAAGGTCTAAGGTATGTTGGGTAGTAAGACATACCTCTTCATGGGCATGATATTATCACAGTTTTACTATGGCAGCTAACATCTTCGCTGGCATCCCTTAAGATGGGGCAGAAGTTCCGACTACTGCAGAAGAGGGTTAAGATACATAGAGTTATCATAAAGATGGTCAACGGTGATACTCTAGAGAAGACAAATCTGTCCTTCACAGCATGCCACAGCATAGGAGATCTCAGCCAAAGCTTTGGCTGAAAAGAAGCCCCTTTCTTCATGACATTTACTCAAATCTAATTAGCTGAAGTCTACTTTTCAGGTGTGCATAGCTGTATGCGCTAATCATAAGAACAGGAAACTGGTCATCAGTGTCCATGGACAAAATAATTAACCTGAAAGAGCAAAGCAGAGGATACTTTGTTCCAAGGAGAATCTTCATGGGATGCTCCAACATTATCTTGTGGAAATAATATAACAGAAAGCCCTACAGAAAGCCCTCTGCCCATATACTTACGCACGCAATTTTCTTGTCCTATCTGTCGATTACAAGTCTCTTAGTTGGCAAAATAGTAAAATGGGGTGCACAAAGCAATGTGAAAACAGGCACAGTGCTCTCTGTGCAACAACAGGACTCTAATAGTTGTTCAGAACAGACTGATATGTAAGAACAGCACATGTCAAATATACCACGTTTTAAGCATAAGGTTTTGGTAAAATCTACCAGAATCAAAGCATAATGCGTATCTGCCTACCTAGAATTAACCTGCTAACTGACCAAGAGAAGAATTTGGCTGTCTTCTCCGACTGAAAGCACTGAAAAAAATCTGTTGGTAGTTTATAGCACCATTATTCACCTAACATCTACTCATTCTTACCGTAGCTCTCACACTATCCTGTCACATATCAGAGCACTTCTGAAACCTTGTTTTATTCCTAGTGAAAAGACCATGACAAATGGCAATATGGGACTAAAGATCAAACAGCAAAACCCCAAGACCCCAGGCTGCACAAGACAGAAATGGTTCCACAATTAGGGCTATTTACACAGTCCACCCCATGCCTTCTCCTAATAAGCTTAATGGCATTGGGGAGAGGCAACATTTCTCTAGCTATTATGCTTGGGATAATGGACAATGGTGCTGCAGGATGGCAGCGCCAGTGGATAAATCATGTGCTAGAAGGGACCATTGTGACCATGCAGCTTTCTTCCTGGGCAACAGAAAGCTTTAGGACTTTTCCGAATGAATTATTGTTTGATCTATAACCTGCCTGTTGGACAGGCGCATTATCCTGAAAGACAAATGACCAGCAACAGAAGATCCAATAGAGTCTTAAGTTAATTTATTACACCATTAAAATTTTATACATTTTTTTTATGGTTTTGTATTTGCCTAGCTTTAATGCCAAGCAATTTGTTATTACACATTGCATGCTGGAGACTTTCACTCCCCATATAGCTATTATATATACTGATCAATCACAGAATCACAGAATCACAGAATCATAGAATATTCAAGGTTGGAAGGGACCTCTTGAGATCAYCTAGTCCAACCTTCCTGCTCAAGCAGGCCCACCTAGAGCATGTGGCACAGGGTCCACATGCTCTAGGTCCTCAGTTAGCTTTCAAGTCCTCAGTTAGCTTTCATCTCATTAAGTAAGCTAGACTGAAGCCTGTGGCTGCAGGATAACAACTACTCAACATTGTCTGAACTTTCTCTAGTTTATCAAGATCCATCCTGACGARTGTCAAGAAACTAGCATTGCTAGACTATGTTAACCTATATTCAATGTTCTAAARGAAATGACAAATAAATGTACCTTGGTTATACCTGGTGATATTAGGACTGACAAATTAAGTCTGACACCACCAGGAACTAACAACTCATAGCAGTATCAATAGAAGCTAATTCTGCATTGGTAATTGTAATCCCAAATGGGAAATACAATATTCCCTTGCTTTCTTCAAAGCAGGACCTCTTCCACAGGAATTATCTCCTCAGTTGAACCAAAACCTGTGACTTTGCATCTCTCTTTTAATATCCATATCTTTGGAGATCTTTTCAGCAATGAATAATCACACTGGCTATGTCATCATSATACTTCTGCCAGTCTGTGTGAGCTCGTTATTTCTGCAGCAATGTTAGCAACAACAGACAAGCCATGATGATCACCCCTYGGAGATGCTGCTATTAGCAGCTTGGGGATTAAACTGTTCCCCTCTAATGTCTATGCTCAGCCTACTGTTGCACAGCAAGTTAGCAGCAGGATTGTGGCAGGARTGGAAGCTCTTACAAACAGAATACCATAAGAGATAAGACATGTGCCCTTTCTTTCACAGAGGGCAAAATGGAGGAATATATTAAAAGGAAGAACAGTAAACTTGCTCATACAGATACACAGACATTCACATATGCAGCAGTCAAAATGACAAATCAAAGGTATGATCTGGACCTTTCACTCTATTTCTCTGAGAGAAGCTGCTGAGGTGATTTCATCTTGTATGATATATATATATATATATATATATATATAAAAATAATGGTAATTTTTGTTCTCAAAAAGGATGATGAATTTCTGATGTTATTTACTTATGAACGTAACATTACACTATTTTGCATGTTTTGGATCTTTATTATCTTACAGACCAGGGCTTTGCTATTTAACAAACTCCATCTGGACACAGATGAAGGGCTGAGCAGACTTCAGCAGCAGCTGTGCARCCCCTCCATACTACCACGCTAACACAACGTGTCTGCACCTGACTAACAGGGGACACTCTGCACTTTCAGCTTAGGGAAGTGTCAACTTCCTATGAGGGCTGCTGTAAGATGAGAACAAATATTACTGTAAATCCAGAAAATGGGAAACGCAGAGATGCCATTTGTAGTGTAAAACCTGGCTATCCAAAGCTCTGCAACACTAATGTTTATGYGCAGGTAGGACCCATTTCCAATGCATTCTTGTTAGCAGCAGAAAGCAGTCATTATGTTTTCAAAGCATTTGCAGAGTCTTGGCTCATAATTTAGCTGTAGCTGGCAGCTCAGYTTCATGTTGAAAGAGTTTGACACAGAAGAGCTACTAGGGTCTGTGCTATATCTCTCAAAGGACAAAGTTACTTGGAACTCTTCTAATGTGGACATATTCTCCTTTACCAGCAGCATCTTGCTTTACATTGTACATTTGTACTCCAGAGTACAAATTCTTCAGGGACTTTCCCCATTTCAGCCAAATGAACGAAAATAAGAAAGTTTCCCTGGTGTCCATCACTTATACATACATCACCACTCTTTTTAGCAAGGAGAGAGCTGCTTCCCTTCCAGCCCGCACAAAACTCACTGACACACAGAGCTTCCAAGAGAGAATTGTCTGTTGGTTGTGGAGTGTTTCAGCCTTTTCCTACAGAAGCTCTTCCCAATGGGCAGCAATACATAAACTAAAAATAGTCATAGAATGACAAGGCCAGTATAATTAGGAAGGAGATTATATGAACAAAGATTACTCTCACAAATAACAGGCTGTATTACTGGGCACTTCCCTTTACTGTACATTCCCACAGAACGACAGATTTCTGTGGGCCTCTTTAAAAGGATAAATTCAATTGCTGCTTCCTACACAAGCTTTTGTGKCTCATATCTTAAGATCAGCTTGCTCCATGCATTTATTTACTTCATGTCTGACAGCAGCTTTACTGAATGGTAGCACGTAGTGGAGTGCACAGAAASAAAACCATACATTACATACAGCATGTTCTTACTCATGGAAGCAGAGGTAAGAATGGGGGAAGGGAGAACTAAGTRTAAAAACACATTTATTCAGCACTGTGAACTCTCTGCCTTACCTTCCCATAGGTCCCAGATCTCCAGAGTCCTGGCTGCCTGCATCACTGGGTGTGCTCACTGATTTCGAAGAGGGAGACATAGGGGTTGGGACTAAATAATGAAAATAACAGGTATCCCATGTTAACACATGCAGCGACTGCACTGATGAAGAGCAGTGTCAGACAAATCAAAACCAATGGACCAAAATGATAGTGGATGAATGATTAGGAGAGTTTGAAATGGTGAAAGCAAATAAGGAAAGGAAAGAAAAAGAAAAGGAAGAGAGTCAAGTGAATTTTAGGTCTTTTGGAAGTGTTAAAACTGACATGAATTTAGACAGGACTGAAAGCCCAACGTGATTTTACAGCTAATCAATGGACGAGTTATCTGTGGAAGTAAAATAACACTTGTTTTCTTGTCCATATCTTAAAGTCACAAAGAAATAYTGGGGATCGCTGGTTAGAAAACTAAGTGAACTCTTCTGGTAAAGCTACGTARGCAATAGAACAAGCATAGTTTTCAAACTTCGAATTGAAATTAAAAGCTAACATCTATTGGATATGTTCTAAGACTACAGTGTGGAAATGACATCAAAAATAAAAGCTGCATAAGGGAATTCAGCTTAGTTAAAATCATTTCCCAAAGGTGGTCAGAATATACTCTTTAGTTTGCTTACTGAACATGTTTTCTTAAATAATTTAGGTTGTATAAAGTTTTCTTTTTCTGAGGGACATGATTTCAAAACTCAAGGAGATGCTTCCCTTGGTTTAGACATTATTTGTCCGAGTTCTAGAAATGATTTTTTCTTTGGCTCGCAGGGGCTATTGAAGCTTATTTCATGCAAATACAGTTTTGTTTCCTTAAGCAGGAAAGGAAGTTCATAGCTATGGGTCAGCCCAAGTTAAAGCTTTTCAGAAAGGGAATAATAAAAAGTARAAACACCCAAATTTGTTTTTAAATTGTTTCTCAGAAATATTTTAAAATGCAAAGATSACTCCAGACAAATTTTGATGCAAGCGTTCTTCAAAGCAGCCACATTGAATAAAAGAGCAAAAAAAAGAGTTTTAGTGCAACAGTGAAGTTCTCCATTTGGTTTAAATCATGTGCACTTCCTCTTATGTACTTCACAGAGTAAAACTTTTAACTATTTTGTTATAGTCTCTAATGCATAATGACAGATCTGTCAAGCAACTTGGATTTTCCATGTGGTCAAACATTTCATGCAGATTCTCACTAGAGACTGTCACATAAACGACTGCAGCATTAAAGTGAATTCATCTTCATGACAGCCCTTTGGCAGGTTATAGGTAGGTCATTGCTGTTTATACATTCTGTATTTGCTGGGATTTGAGTGTTATAGGCACATGTGAAAGCAGAATTAAAGACTCTTTAATGTATACTGTCAATTTATACACAGGAAAAAAAAGAGGACAAAATATTATTAACTACAATGATTTATCTGCATGTGAATTTTCATATTCTTTTGATAATCTCAAGCACAAAATAATTTCCTCAAGATAAAAATTGATAATATGTAACATGAATATTTATGCATCCAGTTGATCGCCTGATAAGGCAATATGACCCCATTTTGGATGCATATGAATATTTAAAATGCTAAAATATTAAAAATTAGTCTGTTTTTATGATATCACTCTATATAATCTACAAAACATATTTTATGATATATAAAATTAATCCAACTTGTCAGACAAGTTTTCAAAGAAGAATTTTTCTTCAAGAAGAAAAATTTCAAAGAATTTTTCAATTTAAAAGTTCAATCAACATCTTGTAACTTATTAAAAATAGCAATCTATTTCAAAAAATACTGATTGCTGGAAACTAGGCATTGAAGTCCCAATTCAGAATATCAACTTCTATTTGTGCATGCACTCACTTAGGGCCAAGACTTCAGCTAGGATAAGGATTCTGGATTCAAGGGAGAGGAAAGCACATGAGAAAAAAAAGGAATCTCACATTAGGGCCACTTAACAGACCGGACAATTTAAAACATTGTAAGTGTAAAACTTATTTACATCAAGGTAATCAATATTCAGATATTATGAATTTTGCCACATATATTTTTAAACTGAGGCCTTTAGAGACTAGCACTGATCTGGTGAAATCAAAAAAGCAGCAAAACATGGGAAATTAGATGTAAAATCTACAATATTGATTTAATGATTAGTCTTTTGAGATTTGTGATTTGTCTTTTTATTCCTCCCTCTGACTTTTGCTTGATTTTTTTAAGGAATTGAATAGGAACTCCCACATGACTATGCTCCTCCTTCCTTATGCAAATATTTCATGTGTACTTAAGAAACAAAACTTGGGGCTAATGAGGTACAGCATTTATATTATTATTTTGTGGGTTGTCAGATAGCTGTGAGAGAAGATAAACAGATCAGCAGAGAAGAAGTCACTATTGGTTTGCAAAGACAACCTGCGTTACCTTCACAAAATACTCTTCAAGAAATGGCAGGGATGCATTTGGCAATGATACGTACTCAAAATGCCATGAACCGGTGTACATGAATGGTGTGGCAGGCATTCAAACAGAAGAGTTCACTTCACTAATACAGCCAAAAATCAAGAAGCAAAGCATGCTTTAATAGAGAGAACGCATTCACTGTGGCAGAGCTGAATGTTTTACAGTATGGTCCTCTTAGATACCTAGAGGTGGTTCTGGGGATATACCGATGCTCTGTAACAAAGCTTCTGTCTCTCTTCTTTTGCGGTCTAGGTCAGAATCTTCCTGAGCTGGTTCTTTCTTTTGCTGTAGATCGGCCTGAATTAAAAAAAAAAAAAAAAAAAAAAAAAAAAAAAAAACAGTTTCATCCACATATAATCCGGTTTTTGCAATTAAACAAATGGAGAACCATGCATTGATAAGAACCATCACTTAGAAATGCTTAATCTTAATCTACCACTGGGTTTAGGCAGCTCATTTATAGTGTATTTATTAGTAGCAATCATTTCCTCTAAGTGCATGGGCAAGCCAAACTTTGCAAGGACTTTTACAAAGATTTTTACAGCACACTGATGGACATGTTTTGTCTCTTACTCATCAAATACAGCTATTCTGTAGAAAAATGGGAAGTCAAAGGCTTTTGCTAATTTCACACAGCACAAAGAAGTACATTTTAAATGYCCATAAGCCAGCTGATTTCGCTAAGAAATATAAGAAATTTCAATGAGACATGACCTAGAATAATAAAAACCACTACCCTGTCTAAAAATGTCCCCATTCCCAGCAAACTTTGGGATCAAGAAATAACATTCCAGTCAACTTTGGTGATGAAGTTAAAGACCTCCACTACCTCCCAAGTACATATTGGCAGGGAAAAAAAATATTTTCTCATACTTCAACCTCTAGCAGGAGCAAAGAAAGGGACTAAAATGTCTAAAATGAGATTCTGGCAGCCCTGGGTAGCAACAATCATAACTGATGGTCCATAAGACCCCTGCTTCTTAGCTAAGATATCTACATTTACTTGAATCTCCCACAGTCTAGCTTCTCTTTGTGGCTTACTGGGATCCAGAAGGGGCAACATCAGCATTAGCCAGAATCCCTTGCCTTTGCTACGCTATTCTTCAAATCAGTGGAGTGGATGGAAAATGCCTGTCCTGTCCCAGCCTAATGGTTAAGAGCACTCTGTTAAAGGAACAGTCTGGCAGACTTTCCCTGGAGTAGCTGAGGGGACTGAACTCATTTCCTGTTACCTAGTCCAGTGCAGTAAACAGTAAGGTATAAACCAAAATGCAAGTGGTCGTGTCCAGCATTTTATCATATCTGATACACAGCGAATCCTGCATAGTTCTTGTAGATAATGCCTGGAGGCACTTACCTCCATATTCTCTAAAATTGCTTCCCAATTGTCTGGTCCTATCTAGCCTCCAGCAGGAAACTAGAGCATGGGACACAGGGGACTTGCACAAGGTTTTTTTAGTCTATTGCTGATGTTTGTTCAGCCACAGAGAAAAAACCTTAGAGTTCAGAAGCATTCCCAAGTTCTCCAGTTTAGATATAGCCAAGATGGAGAGAAGAATTTCTTCTTTTACAAACAAAGATGAAGTTCAGGCATGTGCTCGTGCTCTGCTCATCCTATGGAGCAGCCTGAGGTATTTCACTATAAGAAGGGATTTTGATAACTCTTCTAGAACACTGGCTAAGGCTAATCATATAATTCAGTGTTAGACTTCACCTTTGGAGGCCAGGCTTATCAAAGTGCATCACGGCACAACCCCGTTGGGCACCTCAACCTTGTTTGTGGAGCCAGGCGTCTTTAACTGGATCTGACCATCTGGGTCAATGGAAAGTTTCAGCTACCACAGGATCGCCATGAAGCATAAAAGCAGAGGCAGAGGACAAAGGGAAAGACTTAACAGCTTCCTGGTGCCCCTGGCTTCATTCCCTGCTCTCTAATTCATTAATGTGCTAGTAGTGAATACTGAAAATGTTCAAGTCCTGCTTACAGAYGACTCCCCTAGTGACTCCGGGAGCCTCACTGGGGCGTTTATTGGCAATTGCACAAAAATGCYTCAAACAGAAAAGATTAGAAAGACAACCAAAATTGGAACACTGATTTCTTGGATCACATCACATTTCCACAGTAATTCTATGAAATTCCTGTACAATATTAAAGTGTCAGTTTAAAAGGAAACCGGTTATTAGTAAAGGATAACAGGTGCTTTAAGCTACGATAAGTGTTGACATTTGAAGGAAAAGAAACATAATCACTTAATGCTTCTCTGACTTTGCATGAAAATGAATATCCATTCCCTGTCAATTCTCACCTCTATTCCACTAAGTGACTGAATAAAAAGAAGTATAAATCCCCTAATGAAAAACCCAGTGCATATTGTCAAGGACAAATAAACTAATATGTCAATCAAACTTTAACAGAACTGAAAGATGCACCCATGCCAGAAGATGAAAATGCAATTGCAATTATGTTTTACTTTAGTGGAGAATAATGAYTGTAAATCTGTTACCTTAGCCAGTAATCAAGCTAGTCTTAAGAATACAAAAATACGTATTTAGTCTGCAATGGCTTGAAAAAAATGTGAGCCCTCTTTGTGTCTTTCCCTACTCTCCACTCCCTTTCTATTGAAGGAAAGCCCAGGAAAAACCATTGTGGCAAATCCATTTTTCTTTCTACACACACATGCACATCATGTTGTCTAAATTCTTGTCAGTTGACAGCACATTGGTTTAAAAGCAATTCCCTCATCCCAACTTTCTTGACTAAAAATAAGCATTTTGATTTTAAGGTTAGGCTGAAGTTGAGGCGCTCATTCCACATGACAGATACCCTGTAGCACACAATGCCAAGATGTCAAAACCTCAGCAAGACYCTTCTGCAAGCATGAACTATTTAAAAGACCTTTTGCATATTTACCTCTTTCTTCTTCCTCTCTTCTTCCTTTCGTTTCTTCTCTTCTCTTATCTGGGCCAAACGCTGCTTTTTGCGCTCAAGTTCTGCTTTTAAATCACTTTTGTCTGACATTTTGACTGTGCTGGAAACAAAATTAGGGAAAACAATGTGAAAACAGAATCAAATGTCCACCCTATTTTCTGAGAAAGGTATTTAATTGTATCAAAAACAGTACGTCTAAAGTAGCTTTAAATACATGCTCATATACATGTTGGCCCTTGGATGACAGTGACATGGTAGAACGAAGAATATTTGTTAGGCAATTATTTTAAGAAATCATTCCAGAACATCTCCAAATATAGACTGTATTTCCAAATCATATTTATTGGAAAATCACCTTTGTAAAGCAACCCCATTTTTCTCTGCTATTCAAAATAATGCTTTAGTGCTCCTAGGCACTGAAGTTAATGTATTTTGTCTTCCACTGGCTACCACAATGCTCTGCAAGACTTTAGGACCTTTAGGACCCAGATCCACAGACTGGCTTTGATTTTAAGTACAAAAATGAGATTCCTCAAAGCAGCCCCTATTCTCTTACACAGCAAAGAATTTTATGGGCAAAATCAGAAAAACCTCATAGGTTTTTCTCCTGCTCTGAACTGCTGACATCCTAGAACATATTCCACTTGCACAGCCACATACAGCTCAATATCAGTGTCCTTCACAGTGACATCTCTCCCAGGGACAGGGTCACCAAACTGTGGGCCCTTCTCTGTGGGAGTCTCCTTCACCCTTCCAGGGAAAGCTGGGATACTGAASCAAAAAACCTGCAGGTATAAAATTACAGAATTGGCAATCTAGCAAACCTTGCCTTCTCTACAGCACAGTGGCACATTTTGAACAGAAAAATGTAGCCTACCTCTTCCCACAAGGAGGAACTTTGTGTTCAGACCCAATAAGCAAACATGCCTTATATTCCTGACATTCCTGTGGTAAGTGCACTCCCATAACCAAACACAGCCAAAGGATGCTTAGTTACCCTAAGAAACCGCCCCGCATCCCCAGCTAGCCTCAAGCACAGTTCTCTGTAGGGAGCTGAGGGGAAGCCATGTACGTACGTTGCGTTTTGAACCTTTCTCAACCTATGTTGCTGCAGTTGGTGTTTTTTCAACTACGTTGCACAGACCTGCAACCGAAATCACAGATGTTTTATTCAACCTGTAACATCACAATTATTATATGTTGTCATCTAATGATATCAATACTTATTTTCTCATTACATTTTACTTTGGAGATGGTTCTGACTGATGTAGACTTTAATGGAAAGAGTTGATTTTGCCCTTCCTGCATTTTTAACACACACACCAGTGACCCCATCCACCACTGCAGCTCAGAATCAATCAGATCAATGGCAATGCAAGTGCACGCAATGGAAGTCTATCGTTTCCTCAATCCATGGGAAATCTAAATGGCAACTCTCCATTAATATTAACAAGAACTTCTTCCAGGTTACTGTCTGTGTGGACTGGGAGTAAATCTACTTGCTAAAAGTGACATGTCACTTTCAGCTGCTATAAATTCCTCTATGGTCATAGCCTTTCTTCTGCTCAAAATGATAAAAGCATAATTAGTCCATCTTACAGAAGATACTGCCAACCAAATGTCACCTGCATGTGAAATGCAATCCTGGGCCTAAATGCTTTGTTGCCTTTGCAGGAATTTTCCATCAGTAAAAGAAAAGGATAAAATATGGAATCAAAGGAGGAAAATGTTCAATGGAAACCACAGGGATAAGAACAAGATGAGGGATACCAGAAAGGTCAGCAAGATGTGTTTGTGTGTAGACCACATCATGGATGTTAATGCTCCTCAGTTAAATTCCCACTCAAGCACACCAGCAGGGTGCAACCAGCTCTGCTCAGAGCTCTCACAGATCCCATGGTCATCCTTCAGGGGGGCAACCACCTCTGGCAGGGGCCCTGCAGCTCCTCCAAGGCCTCCAAGGCCAAGCTGTTCATTTACAACAACTCATAGTCAATAGTAAAGCTACCAGGAGCATCAAATTGTCTAACAAACTGGGCCACTGGGTGCACTAGCCATATGTAGTTGACTGATTTTTTTTATTCCACTGTCACTGCGATCCTTTTCACAATGATAAATATTTTAGTCATTGTTTTCAACTTAAGAGGAATCAAAACTGTCAAAAAATGTATTTTTTAATAATAATATATCTAAGCACTAGCACCTTAAGCAATATTATTCTGTGTGGTCAGTYGAGATCGGTTAGCTATTTTTAAGTGGAAGATGACTGGAGAAGAATGTTAGCTTTTTAATGACAATGTAGGTAATATTTTGCCTACCAATCTGTGCAGGATTTGTGGGTCTCTCTGAGATACGGCTGAAATCCTTTTTGAAGTAATTTTCCTAATCTGTCGCCTCATTTGAATTCTGATTATGGAGTTACCCCTTAGAGCTCTTTGGAGTAGATAGAGTTTCTGCATCCTTTTAGTTCTGCAGTTTGGCAACAGAGAGTGAAATCCTGTTTCTATGCAGAAGATATGCAAATGTATTTTAAGGCTCCTGACAAACCCTGAGGGTTTGGCTTCCCTTTCAAGCTGTTTGTCAGATATCAATGAATAGCTTTCTAAAAATTGGTTCCCTTAACATCAGGGAAACTTACTGGCTTTTCGCCCAATTTCAGCATCAGCTACTTAGTCCTCAGCCCTTTTTTTCCAAATCTCCAGTCAGGGTGATTATTTTCTTTTATAACTTTGCCCTATTTTTAACAAAATAGATCTTCGATACAATAAGGATGACATATTAAATTTCATCTGAAGAATGTTGCTGGTTTTGAATTATACAAGGACGGAAAATCACCTCAAGTTACTTTCTTCCTGCATATATTATAGTAATTCCTTAGTGCACCCCCAAGCGAGCTGCAAATTTGCTACGTGTTATTTTAAAGCAAATTGAAAGCTGAGCAACGTAACCACCTTTCTCAGATGTCAGCAAGTCAGCAGCGAGGCAGCGTGCTGCTTCCTTCAGCGCTGCGTTTGGCAGTAACCATGGAGTTGACATTCTGAGTCATTCATGGGAACACATTTCTAATAATCACCATTCCGTGGGCCAAGCGACATGCCACAGGAAGGACAATCAAGGCAAAGGATTAAAAGAAAAGACTTACTTGTGAAATTCTCTGTAGTGTACGATGACAGCACAAGGCCTGTGTGTGACCTAGTCTTCTAGTGCTCAGGAGAAACCATAGGTTGGAGGGAGCAGAGTCTGTTGTGAAGCAAGGAAAGCACCACCTGGAAGAAGGAATGTATATGACCTAGCACACTGGGTCTCCTATAAAATACAGACATAGCTCTCACCACAGGGCAGCAGCCTACAACTCCCCTCTAGGATGCATAATCATTGATAAAATCTAGTTTCATTTGGCCCCCTTCCCTGCCAAGTGACACAGTTTTAAGAGGACTTCCCACTCCAGAACAGCTTTGAGCCAAGTGCCAGGACAGGTTCCTGAGCTGCACTACAGTACGTGGCTGTGAGCTGCTCTGCACCTCCCTTTCCTTTCTTTGAGCTCCTGCTCCTCCTGGTATGATTTCATTTTTAATGAAACTGGCTGTTGTCTTTCAAGGAGATGTCACTCTTCCTTGGATGCATTAAACATGCCCCGGAGTCCGCTTGTGGGCTTAGAAATGCAGCCAATTCCACTTAAGCAGGAAAGGGCCATCAGGGCCATCAGGACAGCAGCCAACTAGACACATGCAAAGAGAAAGMCAAGGTTTTTGAGGGCTGCGTTCAAGGACTTTGTATCTACTGGACGTATCTCAAGATCTGGCCAGCCACAAGGAAGATGCAGAGGAGTCAGTGCAGGTCTAGTCTGTGTAGCTCACTTGTATGAACCTGTGACAGCAAGAACAACTGCCAGCATCTAAAGAGGTCTGCTACAATTGAAGGCTGAAAACTGTAGAACTAATTAATTATTGCAAGAGTAATAAAGCCACGACGTTACAGAAATATAATAGCAGCATATTTACATAGCTTGGACTAGATATACTGGTAAGCATGAAGTGCCCCAGGTATAATGAAAAAGCAGCAGAAATGGTCATTGAAAATTACGACAATGCAAATGTCTATAAGCAGAAAAAGAAAGCAAGATACTGCATCTCCCTTCTCTAAAAGCCACTAGGTTATTTCTCCTAGATTGGCATCCAGCCAGTGAAATATCAATGAGAGCATCTTAAAAGAAATATAAGTACATCACAAGCTAGTATAAGACAGGAACATCTACAGATTCTATTACTTTTTAGTATTCTCAGGATTTTACATACTGTTCTTTTAACAGGCTCTACTACAGTAAAACTATAGTTACCATGTCACATTGTGTGTGTTTTTTGAGCACCTTTGTTTTTTGAGCTCCTCTTTGTGATTATCTCTCTTGCGATTATCAAAAGGTTCATCAAATAAAATTGCTCAGGGCATTAATCAATAGGTATGATTAATTATAAGTCACTAATATTTTTCTCAGATAAATAGGCAAGATCTAATACATGTCTAGCAACCAGCTACTCTTGAGTCAAAGAGCGAAAAAGACCTTTACTTTGACATGTAATTTGATAATTCGTGGTTTCAAAGAATGCTTTTATAGAAAGGGAGTACCATTACAAATGGAACTAATACATATTGAATTTTCTCCTAGAAGAAATGATTCATTTCTACTATGGACCACATCTGTCTCTATTTTGTGTGAACTAATGCATTTTCCACAGCTAGCAATATTATTCATTTTTACAATAGAAAGCATTCCCATGAGATTTATCTAARACTCTCACAAGCAGAAAGTGTGCATGCAAAGTATGAAATTGTACAAAGTAGATAAACATCTTTGTTCTTCAGGAAGTCAGGGAGTGCTGCTGCCCTGACATAAATGCTTCCTTACCCTTGGTATTCATTTGATAATAATGCATGAAACACACTTCAGGGCGAGAGGGGCTACACTTATCTCCTTGACAGTAATTTTTAAGTAAACATATGAGAAYGTATTTGCATCACAGAACTTTTAGTCAACTTCAGGAGAATAACTTGAATTCTTCGGCAGAGTAGACATATCAATGTTCACAAGATCACAATAATGATCAAATATTTGCAGCTACAAGAAAGAAAAAGTTGCAGTATTTTAAGGAATCTCCTGCATGATGAATTCAGGGGAAGATCAAGTAAAACTGATGAGAGGAACATTTTTTTTACATAACCTTTAGGCAAAACAGACTTTTGGCACCACATCTAGGCAGCTTTTAAGAAGAAAAGCATTTTTAAGGCGTTAGGTTGCAGGGAGTGCAGCGTTTCTGTTCCTCGCTCTGTGCACACCTCCCACGGGCGGGCAGGGCTCGGGTGCCCCGTCCTGCAACGCTTCCCCAACGTCAGCACGCAGCGGTGGGTGCTGCTGTGCTGCTGTGCGGCTGCTCGCTGCATCTCCAGCCTGCTTATTTTGAGGCTGCCAGGGCACAAGATCTGCACCCACCCTGCTCAATTAGACTTCCCTCACAACCTACTAGCACTTACCACTCTTGTTCTTCCCTAATAGTCTTGGAGAAATGAACTCTGTGCAGAATATGAAATTCCTATAAAGCAACATTTAAGCAAAGCTCTAAGGCTGCCCATTCTTCCAGGATCGTGTTTACTGGCAGTGAAGCCTCACCTGCTCGCCAGCMCATCCCTTCACGCTCCCTCATCCTCTTAAATTTACCATGACCCTTTTGATTCAAGCTAGCCCATCTCCATGAACGAGTCAGCAAGKTTGAAGAGAACAACCTGCAGGCAATAACTAGACAGATAAAGTAAGAAACATGTGGCATTCTAGCTTGGAGTATAATAATTTTAAATAAAGTGCAGACTAACATGTCACTGTAGCAAAGCTGCTGCATGTTTCCCGTCACGTATCTTCCCTTCCTGTTGATTTCCATGGAAATGACTGAAAGTACCACCTCAAAGAAAAGTAGATTGTAAAGTAGGTCTTTTGAGGTGTCTTGGATTTCCCCAAAATAGACACTAATGAGCAGAGTGACAACTGCAGAGCCACCTCAGATGTAGTGCTGTGAAACTATGCGCACTGACACAAGCAATGCTGGTTTGCACCTCCTCAGGATCTGACCCAGAAATAGTGCCCTAGTTATGTATATTTGACGCTTTTACTAAAACAATTGACATGATCAGCTGTGTGCCTCACAACATTTTGATCCTGTTGAATGTAAAATTTCAGTATATCCTTTGTCAGCCATCTCTCTGTCGGCTTTCATTTCTCTATTACCTTTTAYTGTTTAATTGTGGTAAAATGTAGGACTTTATATGTGTCCAAGGATATGACTGAGAATGGACTTGGAACCCTGATTCTGAACCTTTGGGACACCATGTGTCCCCCACATTTATGGGCCCTATTAGATGCCCTATAATGTTACCTACTTCAAAGAAGAACCGGAGGACCTGGCAAGAGGATTTAAGGAGCTTTCCTGATATTCAGAGAAACCAACTATATGTTCACAAAACTTTAGAGATGGAGAACAGTTCAAAATCCCATCCACAAGCTGAAGGTCACTTGCCTAGAAAAAACAAGCCCTATATTTCACGCTCCTGATTCCARTTTTCTTTTGTAGGCATTACTCATATTTCAATGATATTGGTTGCTAACATCCTGCCTCTTGGCAACCTGTATGGAATATTTGGTTCTACACAAATCTCCCTCGTAACAGTACAAAAGTGCCTTCCAGGAGTATATTTAATGACTACTAACATCTCATGTAGTAGTCTACATGACTACTAACATCTCATGCACCCAAAGTCTCTCCTGAAGCTGAACAATGATTCATCTTCTTCATTCTGCAATCATTTCTGATATAAAAACATATATTTCCATTTCTCTTTGAGGAGGATAAAACTGGGCTTTATATGCTCATCCCAGTGGAATATGGCCAGTAATCTGATACTTAAAGCTATCTACTTATCTCCAAGAGAAATGCATCTTTCAGTCTCTCCTTCCTAACTTAACCCAGTTATAACTACTGCCAGGCAAACAGTTATCCAAGAACAAGGTGTGCTGCTGACATACAGATTTTACTAGCAGACCTACCCAGCTAGCAGTTCTTTCTTAAACAAAAATATGCTTTGCTTTGCAGCTGGTATTCATGACATGCTAGTATGACTACGAAATTAGGCTAAAAATACTACACACTGATTTAATACCTGTGAAATCAGCGTGCCTGAAGACTTAGGAAGCAGTGAATAACTGTAGCTGTGAGAATTAGGCAGAATATCTGCTAGGAAATCTTAACATTTTCAGGGAAGCAATGGGGAGAGTAGAACAGCACCAGACTCTATGTACTGCCCAGAGCTTCTTCAGCTGTGGTAACAAAGCAGGAATGACCAGAGCTTTGCCTTAGCCAGTCATTCCTCTTGATTCTTAAAAAGACAAAAAACAGTGTCAAGATAAAAACGCAAGATGATAAATGCTGATGTCTAACAGCTATAAAAGAAAATATAAGGAGCAGCAAAGAACTTGAATATGAGACCCAAACCTATGCGTCTACACTGGGAAGACTTGCTTGCAGAATTTACTCCATGTCCACAAAGACTTAAAGACTGTTACAGATTCAGATCTAAAGACAACCAATGACCTCTATCTGATATTTTACCCAGCAGAGCACGCAACGTGATATTAAAATAGAGCAATATTATTATGTGCCATTCATTAAGGGCAGAGTGCCTAAAAGACCCAACCAAGCTAGAGGCTGTGCTCTGTTCAGTGCTGCAGAGACAAATAGTAACGGACTGTTCCAGCCTTGAGGAACTTTTGATTCAAATAGCAGAGAGAAAGGGAGAAAGAAAGGGTGATTTATTTCAGTTTTAGCTAAGAAGAATTAGGGCAAATTAAGGCAAACGGGTTAAAGTCCCTCAGGGCCTGGTTCCTACAATGCTCAACAAGGCCATTTTAAGGCATCTGATTCTCCAAAGACCCCCTCTTTTCCCAGGCTTTTTCCAGACATCCCAGAATGATCAGCCATTACCCTGAACTGTGTATGCCTATGGTATGGACTAGTTTATCCTCCGCTGCTCCATGGATGTGTGGGACCTTCCTCAACCTCCTAGACGATGTCTACCTCCATTAAGATTCAAAGTGCACAGACCTTTCCTGACAGTGGAGCAAAGTCTTTCCTTTCAAAAGGGTGAAGCAGGTCACCCCTTTCTTTTAGCAAATTTCTTTTAGGAGGAATTCCATTAGAAGTCTCCCAACCTCTACTGTTTATC